TCACTAGAAATAGACAGATGAAAAGTGGTAACAACAAGGAAAAGTTTTGCTAGCAGTGCTAGCAAAACTTTTCCTTGTTGTTACCACTTTTCATCTGTCTATTTCTAGTGATGTTAAAACTGCTGCCTATCTCATTTACATATCCTGGTGGACCCATACTTGTTTCCTGCTGGCAGCAACTTTGGTTCTGATAATTCTGTAATAATTATTTCATCAGTAAATAAAGCAGATTTATGATACTTTTTTGACTCATCTCTGAAGTTGTTTTGCATTTCTATCTGGAAGTTGGTGTCACACAACTTATGGCATTCAGAGAGACAGATGGCAAATGATAAGCTCGGTTCGAATAAACAAAAACAAAAAAAGACTAAAATGTAACCAAACAAAAATAAATAATTAAGAATAAGATGAAGTCTGGTTTTATCTCACACAATGATTAAATTCTAATTAAATCTGAAAGAAATTGTTTTTTGATGATATTGTTACTTGTATTAGAATGTAATTAACTAGTTTAGTCTTGTTTCTTTAGTAGTATTTAATTGTATAGTAATATAGTAGTAGAACTGCAAGATCTTTAGAAATGGAAGAAATATTTATGAAAATGTAAAGATTATATAACATTTTTGCTTATTAATATATGTTATTGCTATTTTATGAATGAATATGTTCTTAGATGACATTAGAAATGTTAATTCAACTTCTTCTTCTTCTTCTTCTTCTAATGAAATTATGCAACTAATTTAAAATTTAACAGTGACTTTTGTTTATGAATATGAATTAAATGTTTAATTTCAGTTAATCAGGGTCAGATTCCAGCAAGTGCAACAAGTAAACCAATATGTGGTATTATGGGTATTATTCATCTAATAGCAGGTATATTTTAATGATCCTTTAGAAGTTTTTTTTTTTTTTTAATTAATTCTTAATAGAATTTTGATATTTCCAGGTCCACATCTTGTATTAATTACAAAAAAATCAAAAGTAGGTGAGATTAATGGTCAATCAATATGGAGAGTAGAAGATACTGAAACACATGCATATGCACGAGCTTCATTGCATCTCACTGAAGATCAGGTCTGTAAAGTTAAAAACTAAAGATTTTATTTAAATTAAAAAATTACACTTTGTAATATAAAAATATTCACTAAGAGGTTGACTGCATTGTAACAGCTGTTGTACACAATTTAATTTTTCTTAATTATTTTCAGAATCAATATGACAAACAGTACCTATCGATGATACAATCTTTTCTTCGGACTCCATACTTTTATTTTTCCACATCTTATGATTTGAGTCACACAGTTCAACGATTATACAACACTAGTCCGGATTTTCTTCAAATGCCATTGTTTGAAAGAGTAATTATTTTGGCTTTATTCCTTACAATTAAATTTGATATAAAAGACAAAATCTTAGAGTAAAGATCTATTAATGATTTTTTTAGGGGGATCAAAGATTTATTTGGAATCATTATCTAATGAGGGACCTTTTAGCACAGCAAGAGGTAAGTATTCTAATTCATTTGGTTGATTTTTAAAACTATTTTTTTAATCTCAGAATTTTTTGACAGTTACATCGATACTGGCTGCCGGTAATTCATGGCTGTATCCTTATTTAAAAATTTTGAAATTTATTTATGGATTTTTAAATAAAGTTTTCAGATAAATAAAATTTTCAACAAGTTATTCTAAATCCATTAGAAGTGTTTGAGACCCAATTGATATATTGTATTTTTCTGTCTAACATGCATTCCTTTTGTCAGACTTGCTTCTCAAGTTACAATGCACTAGATTTAGATGGAAACTCAAAAATTCCTTTTACCACTTTATATTACCCTATCATTCCTTAGAGTTTTCTCCTCTTGACATATCGTGTGTGTTGTTTGGCTTTTTCTAGTTTCGATTTCATCAGTTGTGGTTCTATATTTTATTTTAGCTTTGACATATTGTTTTTCACAAGATTGCACAAACAACTTTTGTGTGTTCAGTGCAGTAGTACATTAAAATTGTCAGAAAACAGATTTTTTCTGACAATTTTAATGTTTTACTTTTTTGTTTTCGAGGTTTAAAAAAATCTGAGTGCACATTAGATTCAAGTAAATACGGTAATATAATATATAAATAGTTTCAATTTCATTAAAACTTTATTTAGTTTCCAATTGTAAGCATATAAAATTCTTACAAGAAATTTAGAGCTCACAATTAGAGACTTCTACTTTTAAAATCACAAAGTGATAATTTTATTTTTTTACTTATTACAGGATAATATTGGTATTTACATATTAACAAGACATCCATCTGTATAAACATTTGAAATTTCTTTCTTGTTTTATGTTTATTATATTTATTAAATTACTACATTCTCATTGTTCATTCATCTACATGTTCAAATATCTTCTTCTCTGCTTTGATTTGGGTTTTTGAGGAGCAAGAAATACTTTTTAGGTGATAAATTGACAGCATATAATGGATAAATGAAAATATGAAGGAATGAAGGACTTTGTGTAAATTATTGTTCAAGTTTTTATAAAATAATTTCTGTGTAAATATATATTTGGGGGTATAAGCTGTTTGTCTCTTCATTTAAGTTTATTGAATTTGTTTTGTTTAAAGACACTGAACTTTTAACTAGCAATTTTTCAGCTGGAATGTGCCGGTATATCATATGGACAGGTATCATAAAAAGTATCAATAGCTGGGACTATGTACTTCACCAGCATTGCTCAGTAAAACAACTCTATATTTTCAGTCACATACATGTATACCAGTAGTATTTTTTTTAGAAAAAGAGCACTGAATATATTCACAAAATAATATATCACAGATTATTTCAGTATCATTTAATTTCTGAGATCTTTGATTCTGGTAGGTGAGAAATGGTTACATTACACCTTCATCCATGCAGGACAATAGGATTTTGCAATGTAACACCTTCATCTGCTCCTGTCTTATTTCTGCAATATATACTTAATCAAATATTATCTGTTGTATATAGATAATAGACACTAAATATTTCTAATTCATTACAAAATGAATATTGATTTAAGGTGTTTCTACAAAATCATAAGTACCATTCATTTTCAAAAATAATGATTTTTTTAAAGATATAATTTTAAAGACTTTTAAGGTTCTTAGAACAGTAATAATAGAAAGATTTGTTTAATGCTAAACTTTACATAATTTTCTTTGTAAATAATCAAATTTTGTTTGTTTTTGACGAAGATAATTTTCCTTAACTGTATTATAGTTATATGTATAAAGCAATGTATTATTAACCAACATTCTTTTTCATGGATATTAATATCAAGGAGAAGTTGCTATCGTGCAGGAACACGTTTATTTATGCGAGGCGTTGATACAGAAGGACACGTGGCTAATTACATTGAAACGGAACAGATTGTAGAATACGATGGTTGCAAAAGTTCATTTGTACAGGTAATTATTTTTGTAGTAAATACAATTTTACATAAAATTCAACTAATATAACTAATGGATATTATAAAATAAAATGTGTGACAAGCAGAGGGCTAGGGGTTAATCCCTCCTGCACAGGCTGGTAAAACCCGGTCTCAGAGTCGATGGATGGCTAGGAGGGCAAAAAGTGAGTGGGGAGTGCATCGGTAAGCCGGCAGGCGTCCTTTCAAAGATAGGAGACAGGTTTAACAAATAAACAATACATTTATTGAAGTACTAAATCTAAGTTACAGGAGGCGAAAATAATACTAAGGTTATTGTAATGCGGTTATCGTATATGCTATACTATTTACATAAAATGGGTGACTAATCTCGTAACTATTTCGCTGACCTAACTTTAAGGTGAGAGAGAGTGATTTTACAAGTTCAAAAATATCCCCTAAATAGAGAGATTGTGGGCAACGTTTTCATTGCGAAAACATGTAGGTCGGACATTCAGCACCGTCTTCCTGTAAGTCTAGAAGTTTGACAATGGCATTTGATGTGTCGAGCATGATTCGAGCATGATTCTACTAACGTTCCAAACGCCATTTTCAAACTTCTAGGCTTATAGGAAAATGGCGTTTGGAACGTTAGTGGAATCATGCTTGACATATCAAATGCCATTGTCAAACTTCTAGGCTTACAGGAAGACGGCACTGAATGTCCGACGTACACGTTTTCGCGATGAAAACGTTGGCCACAACCTCTCTAATACCTCTCGTTGTAATGGAGAGTTGATATGGCGACGAATCTCTGTGTCTTCTCCGACGGGATCCAATTCCTTTGCATGGACATTGACTGGCAGAAGTACAGAAATAATTTCCGTGTGCAGACGCGTGCTGAGCTTCCAGGGGCTTGAGCTTTTATTCAGTTGTCGTGGGAAAGGAGTCACATGATCGTCAAATGTTGACAATAACAGTGCATTCTTGACACCTATGTGTCGACTTTCCCACCTAATTGTTATAACAAACGGTGACCTCAGATATAATTCTCACCAGGAGCATTTTTTCTATTGGAGTTGTTTACATTTGTTTTTTTTCCGACAACTGCGTTAAATTTGTGGATTTCACAAAAATATTTTCATTATTTATTGCCTAATTTAATATATAACTTAATGTTATATATTAAATTATTAAATTATTAAATTTAATATATAACTTAATGTTATATATTAAATTTAAATATAATTTTGATATTCAATTAATGAGTTTGAATCTGGAGTAAAAATGTTGCTTATTGATAAATTAATAACGAAACATTGATACTTTAAATAACTATAGTAGTAAGTGGCCAAGGTGGCAACCTACCACTCTGGGGTACCCGGGTTCGAATCTGAACGGGTCGAAAAATCCCCAGGAATTTTTCGCGGGGGTGGTTCATTGGGATATGTCGGGCCATGTCCCTCACCACCCGGCAGCCCCATTGTGGGCCTGGCCGAACCCATAATGGGCTTGCAAAAAGAGGTCCTCTTAGTGCCCACAGGGCAGAGAGAGTTAAAAAAAAAAACTATAGTAGTACAGACCAGTCTATAATCTAGATTGAATTTCCAGAAATTTTCATTAGTGGTTTGATTTAGTTATGTTAGGCCAACCCCTTCCTCCAAGATGGATTGTAGGCTTAGCCATGGATTAGTTAATGAATTGAACAAATTATATATAATATGAAACATGCGTTAATAATATAACATAGTGTATATGCTTAAAAGAAGATTGTTTATATTTTTTTTATTATTAATTTTTTAGACAAGAGGTTCTATTCCATTGTTTTGGAGTCAACTTCCAGATCTTAGGTACAAGCCAAAACCAACATTAAGTACTACTAACAATCAGGTAAGTTTCTATAAAACATTTTATTTATATTGAAAAACTCAATATATACATAGTATATAAAGCTTTATATCAAAATAATTGATTTTTATAAATTACAATGTCAAAATTGGATGATAAATAATATATTAAAAAAATAAAATGTAGCTCTTACATTTAAGATATTCAATAAAATAAATAATTAAGAAAGTAGACTGAGTATATTGTGTCTTTGAATACAAAATTTCTCATAAAAATTTGTGTTTGGTCCTTGTAAAAAATTCTGGCATGATAAATGATTGAAGTCAGAAAGTGATTCTAAGTATATGAAAAATGAATTAATTTCATTCATTGCTAACAATAAAATTACAGTAAAATGTCATCAGTCAATTGCTTAACTAAGATTGAACATAATATCTTGAGTTTTATATAGTTGAAAGTATTACTTATTTATTTTAATTTTTTTTTAAATAATAAAGAAAAGTAAAAGTTAATTTTAAAAAACATTTCAAATTTATAGTGAAGTTTAAATTTTACTTATTCTGTATTGGCCCAAAATATAAGTTGACTTCCCAATTCTGGAATCTTTAATTTTTGAAAAAGATCAGTACTTGAACATAAGTTGACCTTTTATTATTAATTTTATTTGCATACAAAAGATTAGCGATTTGTATTAAAAAATCATCAAAATAATACTTTATCACTTTTATCTTTATCAGAACTTTCATTTTCGTTGTGGTCTTCAGCCTGTGTTCTGTTTGAATTGTTGGTAACACAACATTAAAGCCCTTTATAATTGTGTTGTCATCAACAATCTTTTGTTATTCTACTGTTCTAACTTTTACAAGAATATATGGATTTTTTATCTATGTGATTATGAAAATTAGTTTGCTCAATTACATTTTTGTTTCTTTTCAAAATTACTTTGATATAGTTAGATATAAAATTTTTTAGATTTGTATCTACAAATATCTCAGAATCAATCTACATNTTTTATTTCTACATTATTGATTCTCAATTTTCAAGTCATGGTACGCACAATTTTTGATTGTATAGTATTGTATCAAAGATGTTTTTATGAATATAAATGAGGGATTCCCACTGGGATCAACATAGATCCCCTGAGGGGTTAATTTTTAAAGGAGTTGATGCAACTCAAGGGGTCAATGGAAAAATCAAATACTTATACTTTTTTGAGAATTTCAGATAATTTTTAAGTAAGAATAATAACAATCATGTGAAAAATTCATTAACTGATTAAATAATTTACTTGATATATTATGCAAAATGTTGGGAAATAACAAAAAAAATTGTAAGGAAGTCGAGTGAAAAGAATATTTGCTATGTGGGGATTAATGCAAGAAAAAGATTGGAAACCCCTGAGATAAAGAAAATGTGAGATAGAAGATTTGCAGTATTTTATATATAAAATAAACAAATAATAGTTTAAAAAATATTACTTTTAAATGATTCTTTGAAATTTAATGGTGTATCCTGAACTTATGAACTCTTATAAGTCCAGGTTACACCAGTTGTAAACCACTGTTCTATATTGTTACCATTCATCAGGATTTTATAAATATATAACAGTAGCCCTGTATTTATCTGAAATTAGATTATAAAATAGAATATGATTATTGTCTCTTAAAACCAATAAATTTTTTTTCAGTAGTTCTCTTCAGTACTAATTTATAGTTTCAATCAAGTTGGAATATTTGTAAAATTTTAATGGTTGAGAATATTTGTAAAATGTTTACAATTGCAGGTATGTGTCTTTTGACTTTCATAAAGAATGTGGTCACATGAGGTGGGAAAGGCTTTCATTGTTAATGGAAAGAATTAACCAAGATCAAAATGAAATGGGGTATGTTCTTTTGTTATAATTCTAACCAAATACTAAAAAAATTTTCCAATATAAAAAAAAATATTTTAATTTAATTTACATACATAAATATATCTTAACATAAGTTTTCTTTTTAGATATATTCTTATATTTAGAGACGGTACTCTATTACAACAACAGGAAGGTGTTTTTCGTACAAATTGTATCGACTGTCTCGATCGCACAAATGTGGTACAGAGTATGTTAGCCAAAAGAAGTTTACAGAGTCAGTTAAAGGCAAGAAGTTTATTAGATCCTAATTAGAAAGTTTAATAAAATTATTTCTGTAAGAAGCAGTATTGGTCCATATTAATGCTTGCCTTGTCAAACATCTCTATTTCAAGAGACAAGCATTGATATGGACTAATATTATAATATTTCTTACAGATATGGGGTTTCAGGACAGACTACTCAAAATTTAATATAATTATACAGTGGGTGATCGGTTGATGAACAGATCGGTTAATGAACAGATTGGATAACGAACACTTTTGAGAAAGATTTTTATGATCGGACAATGAACACATGTTCGGATAACGAACACTTCACTGAACAAACACAAGAAGAAGTGACATAAATAACGAATACCAATTGGTCTTCCTTTGTCTTCAGGCAACAATTCAAAACGTTTCAGAGTGCGGGAGACGTCGACATCGACATTCTACCCAGTATATACTGATCGGATAATATTCCCTCAAAGTTTGAAACTCTCCCTTGTAATTCCAGCCTTTTTTTATTTCTGACAGAAACAATTCTTTTATGTTTTCTTCAGAAAATGCGGATTTATGTCGATATCTGCTATTAAAGATCTTTTGAAGAAGTGGGAGGATGTCAGAACAACGGTCTTAAAATGGCATCCAAACCAGGTTGAGGTTAATAGGCCTAGAGATCTCTAAAATTATAATGCTATTAATTACTTCTGAAAAATCATGAAGAAGACAGAAAAGCAATCGACATTGGACAGATTCTTTAACCCCCACAAACGGAAAAAACATGACTAATAAAAATGCAAGACTGTGTATATATGTATTTTTATTATTACATGTGAATAAACGTAGTAAGAAAGTATATATATTTTTATATGCAAAAGAATATTCCAGAGAAGCAGCAGCACAAAAATTCAAGGTGCATCAAAGTGGATTTGCAAGTGGAAGAGCAAGCATGATGCTCATAATTCTAATTTATCTATCTAATTTATTAAGAACTAGTAGCTCGGGATGCCCCCTAGTGNTATATATATATGATAATATATATATAATTTTTTGGGGGGTCTCCAGAACGAATTAATCTAATTCCCATAGAAACCTATGGTAAATCAATAATCGGTTAACGAACAATTCGGATAGCGAACAAAGTCTTGGAACGGATTATGTTCGTTAACCAATCACCCACTGTATTCAGGACTAAATTATTATATTTTATATCAATATATTTTATAATTTGACTGATATAGTTGATATAATAACTTAATGCCATACAAAATAATAGAAATAATATTCTTGGCCAGTATTAAATAAATATATTTTTGCTGCATATTAAAGCAATTTGTGTGTGTATATGTGTTTTGAAAATGGTGTGCAGTATTATCATTAAAATAGTATACAGTAGAATTCTGATTATCTAAATTGATTCATTCTGCAAGTGATTTGGATAATTGAAAATTCAGATAAGTAGATTACAGTGGCGTGACATCATTAGAAGTGGTGGATGCACCTCTTCCCTTGTATTTTCTAAAAAATAAATACTTATTAACTTTAATTATACGAAAATAATCGCACAATATTTTATTACAACCGCATTATGTATCTTATTACAAATTTTTATACTACACATGAAAAAAAAGATAAGATTGCTATTGTATATTCAAATATTAGTGGCAGTGTAGCGGAGTAGAAACACTGTATTGTCAGCATCCAAAAAGCCAGATTCACACATGCGCTTTACAGAGCACCAACCTCACCTGGTTTAGCCGGTGTAAGCCTAGACTTTGGATGGCTGCTACACATATAATACATCCAATTCTATCCAGGACCGGTTCCGGGCTGTTAGCTGCCCACCTGCTAGATATTTGGCCGCCCTTGCCTGATTATGTGAATCACGAGTAGATTTATAACTTACCCAACCGATAGGAATTTACCTGTATGTTTTTATGATAGTTTTCTGTATAGTTGACAGGAGTTTAAAAAAATCCATTAAAATATTTGATATATTTATTCCGCTCTCCGATTTTATATTACTCACGGATTTCAATGTTAAACCAGTGATATTACGATTTCGTATGTCCCATCTTTAAGGAGATGTAGAAAAAAATGTGTACAATTCTTGTATAATGTTAAAAAATTAACTGTTACTTTGGTAGCATAATTTACAACTAAATTTAATGAATGAGAGAGATGCACGAGGCACAGAAAAAGCTCTAGAATTTATTTTCCTTAAATTTATGATTTATGAATCTGTTTGTCATAAAAATTTGTCTTTCCACTTTTTCCTGAGACTACAAATATTCGAATACAAAGTAACTGGTTTCAACTTACTTCTACTTAAGAAGTAGTTAAATAATTAAGCAATTAGGGAATTGGGGACTAAACAAAACCCCTACGAAAGAGCTGAAATTTTACTTAAATAAAAGCCTAACCAAACCAATCTCTAGCCAAGTACAGTGGGACTGATTTCTTTGAAATATTAGATGTAATAAAGACAGACATTTTTCCAGTCCAACAAGAGTGACCAAAAAGTTGTAAATTTTGGAAATTTCCGTGGACAACACCTGGTCCTAAAACGAATTAGTTAGAAAACAAATGATGGACAATCTATTAAGTTTAACATATTTAGACTTTTACAGCTATGGTGAGAAACGTTTGAAATTTACAAGAACTCTGTCATGTCTTTTGAGGTATATTAGTGATGCGACAAAAGAGGCATTTGAAATTGATCGGTATCTGCACCCTCTGGATTTGGCAGCCTGCGTGCATGTACACACCGCACACCTAGCAGGACCGTCTCTGATTCCACTCGTAGGGAGCTATTTGACTAAGTGGTTAAGATTTAAAGAGTAAAGAATATTTTATGTTATTTATATGTACGTTTCATTACAAAGCTGTATTTAATTATAA